ATACCATTGGGGGGGGGGGGGGGGGGCGGGGAACGCCAGACGCCTGACCACACATGAGTTTCGTTTTCTTATTCTTTCTGGCATTTCTCATAAATGATGAGCTCCTGTTTGGAGTCTTTATGGCGATGGTCAGTGTCTGTATGCGTCCACCGTCCCATACATTCACATGTTCAAAAGCGCATCGGGAGCATAGCTACAACTAACAATTGGCAGACCATGAAATTCACAACATACAGACATACATGCACAGGTATACGAATGTATACAGTGCAACCTTTCACACGTACAGATGTCATGCCCATGTGCGTATGCCTACACGGGTGCATGTATATGTAGGTACATACCGGCATGTAGGACTAAATGCACGCGTATGTACGTGCACACATGCACGTCTGCGCATGCTCTTACATGACTTGAGAATACTCGTAACACACATGCATGGCATGCGTGCGCATGCTTTCCTGCATGCATACAGTAGTCACAGTAGGGCATGACGACATTCATATTTATATACATAGGTACCTACCTATCTACCTATCCGCCAATCTGCCCTTATATAACTATTTGTTTATTTATCTATCTATCTATCTAGCTACCTATCTACCTATCTATTTATTTATCTATCTATCCATCTCCCCATCTATCTATCGAAATATCTACCTATCTACCTATCTATTTATCTAGCTAACTAACGACATTCAATCTATCCGAATCTAACCTAAGTTTAAGTCCAACTTTATGTAATCTTACCTAATCTAATCAAATCTAAACCGTCTTGTCTAGCCCAACCTACCTATCCATCTACCTATCTGACTATCTACCTATCTATCTATCTATCTATCTATCTATCAGTCTATTTGTCTATGTATCTGTTTAGCTATCTGTCTATCTGTCTCTGTATCTGCCTACCGTGCTACCTTCCTACTTCACCTACCTGACCATCTGTGCATCTATACAGATATGAGCACACACATAGATACATATGTATATAGGTATGCACACACATGTAGGTATAGATGTAGATATAGTTTTAGATATATGTAAAGAAATACAAAGATATTGATATAGAGATAAATGTAGACATGGAGAAGGATATGTTTGCATGTAGGCACCTATGCACAGCTGCTCGCCATCTCAGACACACACACACACACACACACACCAGTAGTCCGCAGCTGTGCTTTCCTGTCCAGGCACAGACGTAACGACTGGGCCACCAGCCAACAAATCCGGCCTAACCTTTACCCCGCAAAAACAGAAAGAAGTCGCCGCGAAAGGTTACTTTAGGGTTCTTTCATGGGTTACAAGAAGGGTTTGAAGACCCCTGGAGGATGGCCAGCGATCGTACCAGCGGTGTCAGGAGAGCAAGGGTTCTGTAAGGGTCCCATAAATTGGTTGTTTGAGGCTTCGATTAGCCTGAAAGTTTCGGGTTTTAGGTTTTTGAAAGTTTCGGTTTTAGGTTTTTGAGTTCAACGGTCAGTTTAGGAATTGAGGTTCGGTTTGGGGTTTGGCGAACAGGGCTTTAGATCTAGGATACTGGGCCTGAGCAGTGCCGGAAGTGTTGGGCCCGAGCGTATCTGAACGTCTCAGGTGGTCCCCTAAATCTCGAACCCCGGAGGCCTAAACACTACCACAAAGCCATCCAAAGCCCATTGAAGCCCAAATAAGATCATCATCAAACCTTCGGAAGCCCTGACCAAATCTATCACAAAGATCACAAAGCCCCCGAAAGCTTTTCTTTGAAATACCCTTGTACACCCGGTGCCGTTGCAACCCGCTGATGCAGCCTGTATGCTTTCTAAAGCCTTCTAGACCCCTAAACTCTAAACCCCCAGAGCTCTTAGCCCTAAACCCTCATAGAAACTCTTACAGGAACCCCCCTCAACATCTGCGAGGAACAGGCTTCCCCGCAGTTCAAGCGCGTCCTCGTCACAGGAGGAGCCGGCTTCCTAGGCGCCCGCAAGGGGCCGAGGTTTGTGATATCCGGGTTTGGGATTTAGGATTTAGGGTGTAGGGATTCTAGGGTTTGGGAACCTTAAAAATTGGAAGCGGCTTCGGATGGGATAGTGTTAGTCTTTCCTGAAAGAAGGCCACACCAAGCATATATCACGTTCCTTTGAAGGTACCACACACCCAAAACTCCTAGATCCTGAATAAACCCTAGACCCTAAGCCCTAAACCCTAAACCCTAAACCCTAAACCCTAAACCCCTAAACCCCTAAACCCCTAAACCCTGAACCCTAAATCCCTAAACCCTCAACCCTAAACCCCAAGCCCTACACTCCTAGAG